CAGAATCACGTGACGCTAAAACAAACACAATGTTCACAAAATATTAATAATAGAAAAGTACAAGTCAAGGGCTTTCCAAACATGTATAGATTATATGGTTTCTTGTAAAATTTATTCTGATAATAGGTGTTTCCATTTTCCATGCAAAAAAACTATCCTGCTACCTTAAAGTGATGCTGTTATTGTAACTGTACACCTAAACATGAATGTTTACATAGCATGTGCAGGCAAGCTAGTAAATTAAAAAACTTGACTTTGGGAGGGGGGTGTCATTACAAACTGCATGATATGTTCATCAATTACTGTTAAAATCGAAGTACAGTAGAAATTGATGAAATGAAAATTGTTCTGACTAGTGTTTTTTTTCTTACAGGCTTTCAGAAGTGTTGATATTTTGGCCGACAATAGAGCTAAATATAAAGAATTCTGCATTCCTATGGTTATATTACCATGTACTGTGAGTAATAATGTACCAGGAAGTGATTTCAGCCTTGGATGTGACACTGCATTGAATGCCATTACAAGTGTAAGTGGACATCAATAATAAAATAATAGTATAAAAACTTTTTTTGTGGGTCATGGACGTTGGCAGCCATCTTTGTTGTGGGTCATGGACATTGGCAGCCATCTTTTTTTGTGGGTCATGGACATTGGCAGCCATCTTTTTTTGTGGGTCATGGACATTGGCAGCCATCTTTTTTTGTGGGTCATGGACATTGGCAGCCATCTTTGTTGTGGGTCATGGACGTTGGCAGCCATCTTTGTTGTGGGTCATGGACATTGGCAGCCATCTTTGTTGTGGGTCATGGACATTGGCAGCCATCTTTGTTGTGGGTCATGGACATTGGCAGCCATCTTTGCTGTGGGTCATGGACATTGGCAGCCATCTTTGTTGTGGGTCATGGACATTGGCAGCCATCATTGTTGTGGGTCATGGACATTGGCAGCCATCTTTGCTGTGGGTATCCTTTGAGTTATTACTGTCAGTATGTTTATTTTACATATTACGAAATTGTCAGATTTGTGATGCATTTAAAGTAGCATATTTACTGTCTCATCATGTGGCACTTTGCCTTTAATGTTTTTTTCAGATCTGTGACCGTATCAAGCAATCAGCAACTGGAAGTAAGCGACGCGTTTTTGTTGTGGAGACAATGGGAGGTTATTGTGGTTACCTAGCAACAATGGCTGGTCTGGCTGGTGGAGCTGATGCTGCTTACATATTTGAAGAACAATTCACCATCAAAGATTTACAGGTAAGCCCCAGACTCTCTCCCACCAAAACCCAGTGTCACTGTGTGATTGGAGACTGCTTCATTCACCATCAAAGAATGAGCAATTCACCATCAAAGATCCACAGGTAAGCCCCAGACTCTGTCCCATCAAAACCCAGTGTCACTGTGTGATTGGAGACTGCTTCATTCACCGTCAAAGAATGAGCAATTCACCATCAAAGATCTATTGGTATGTCCCCTGACTCTGTCCCATCAAAACCCAGTGTCACTGTGGGATTGGAGACTGCTTCATTCACCATCAAAGATCTATT